CCTTTGACGTATTTACAAGAGAAAGAACTTGCTTTCTCCCACCCTTGGTCTGCCTCATCTATTGAGATTATAAACTCTTTGAAGCAGGGACTGTTTCTTATCAGCTGTATATACTGTGTCTAGCAAAAGAAGGCCATAATTGTAATCAGGGTCTCTGTAATGCAAATAATAATAATACTCAGCTGCTTAATGTTAAGAATGTCTGTAAGTCTTTGGAGCATTGGAGTCTGAGATGATGAAATGCTGTTTGCATCCAGGCTCTTGGTGTAGGTCCATTTCTACTTGACAGATTAACAGAAATCACTTGTTTTAATTTACCACCCATTAAAAACCTCTAGTAGGGAAGCTTTGTCTAGACCTACAGAGGGCATCTACAGGTCACACTATAGGACACCATAGCCTCCTTTAGGCACTCCTATAGAGAGAGACCAGCTAGCATGCAGCAGTGAGGGCTAAATGCTATACTGACTTTACATTTGCACAACCCTATGCCTTCAGAATTCAGCCCTGTGTGTGTAATAATAAACATATGGATTATTTCAGTTAAATTATGATAGATGAAATCTTGGCTCCATTGAAGTCAATAGAAAAACTCCTATCAACCTCTTTGGAGCCAGAATTTCACCCAGCAGTTATTTATGTTGGTTCTTTTCTTGCTTTTTGGATTACAGAGATAATCTTACTTTTTTGGATTAGTTGCCATGGTATCTGAAAACAGATGTTCCAGCCTTTTAGAAGGACAGCTAGGCAATGGTGAGGTACTGTATGATGGTTGTTATGTGTTATGTGCGGCTAAAATTACAAACACAGGCATGGGCTAAAACAAAATATTTGAAAAGCCATGACAGTCAGATTTCCCTGCCAAAAACTGCCTTACTGCTGAGTGACTACAGTGGGTGGTCCCAGTACTCATAAGAACGGCCATACTGCGTCAGACCAAAGGTCCATCCAGTCCACTATCCTGTCTACCGACAGTGGCTAATGCCAGGTGCCCCAGAGGGAGTGAACCTAACAGGTAATGATCTAGTGATCTCTCTCCTGGCATCCAGCTCCAACCTCTGACAAACAGAGGCTAGAGACACCATTCCTTACCCATCCTGGCTAATAGCCATTAATGGACTTAACCGCCATGAATTTATCCAGTTCTCTTTTAAACCCTGTTATAGTCCTAGCCTTCGCAATCTCCTCAGGCAAGGAGTTCCACGGGTTGACTGTGTGCTGTGTGAAGAAGAACTTCCTTTTATTTGTATTAAACCTGCTGCTCATTAATTTCATTTGGTAGCCCCTAGTTCTTATATTATGGGAACAAGTAAATAACTTTTCCTTATTCACTTTCTCCACACCACTCATGATTTTATATACCTCTATCATATCCCCCCTTAGTCTCCTCTTTTCCAAGATGAAAAGTCCTAGTCTCTTTAATCTCTCCTCATATGGGATCCATTCCAAACCCCTTATCATTTTAGTTGCCCTTCTCTGAACCTTTTCTAATGCCAGTATATCCTTTTTGAGATGAGGGGACCACATCTGTACGCAGTATTCAAGATGTGGGCGTACCATGGATTTATATAAAGGCAATAAAATATTCTCCAATTTATTCTCTATCCCTTTTTTAATGATTCTTAACATCCTGTTTGCTTTTTTGACTGCTGCTGCACACTGCATGGACATCTTCAGAGAACTATCCATGATGACTCTAAGATCTCTTTCCTGATTAGTTGTAACTAAATTAGCCCCCATCATAGTATATGTATAGTTGGGGTTATTTTTTCCAATGTGCATTACTTTATATTTATCCACATTAAATTTCATTTGCCATTTTGTTGCCCAATCACTTAGTTTTGTGAGATCTTTTTGAAGTTCTTCACAGTCTGTTTTGGTCTTAACTATCCTGAGCAGTTTAGTATCATCTGCAAACTTTGCCATCTCACTGTTTACCCCTTTCTCCAGATCATTTATGAATAAATTGAATAGGATTGGACCTTGGACTGACCCTTGGGGAACACCACTAGTTATCCCTCTCCATTCTGAAAATTTACGATTTATTCCTACCCTTTGTTCCCTGTCTTTTAACCAGTTCTCAATCCATCAAAGGATCTTCCCTCTTATCCCATGACAACTTAATTTATGTAAGAGCCTTTGGTGAGGGACCTTGTCAAAGGCTTTCTGGAAATCTAAGTTCACTATGTTCACTGGATCTCCCTGGTCCACGTGTTTGTTGACCCCCTCAAAGAACTCTAATAGATTAGTAAGACATGATCTCCCTTTACAGAAACCATGTTGACTTTTGCCCAACAATTTGGTTTTAAGGCCAGAAGGAACCATTAAGTTCATCCAGTCTGACTTCTTGCATAACGCAGGCCTGAGAATTTGACCTAGTGATTGTTGCATTGAGCCCAATAACTTGTGATTGAACTAGAGTATGGGCTTGATCCTGCTCCCATTCAGGAAAACGCCCATTGACTGGAACTGTGAAAGACCAAGCCCATATCTTTTAGGACAATTTCTGGTCCCCTTAGCTATGGTCTACCAGACATCTACCTACTCAGGCTATGCCTAAGGCCACCCTGCTCCTTCCTCTTATCTTTCTCAGTCAGCTAATTAGACTGTGCTGAACAAACAGTGAAGTGACATATGCCAGCAATGCCCCTCTGCCATGTACATTGGCCAAACTGGACAGTCTCTACGCAACAGAATAAATGGACACAAATCTGACATCAGGAATCATAACATTCAAAAACCGGTAGGAGAACACTTCAGCCTCTCTGGCCACTCAGTAAAAGATTTAAGGGTGGCAATTTTGCAACAGAAAAGCTTCAAAAACAGACTCCAGTGAGAAACTGCTTGAATTAATATGCAAACTAGATACCATTAACTTGGGTTTGAATAGAGACTGGGAGTGGGTGGGTCATTACACATATTGAATCTATTTCCTTAAGTTAAGTATCCTCACACCTTCTTGTCAACTGTCTAAATGGGCCATCTTGATTATCACTACAAACGTTTTTTTCTCCTGCTGATAATAGCTCATCTTAACTAATTAGCCTCTCACAGTTTGTATGGTAACTTCCAACTTATCTGTATGTATATATATCTATCTTACTATATGTTCCATTCTATGCATCCGATGAAGTGGGCTGAAGCCCACAAAAGCTTATCCTCTAATAAATTGGTTAGTCTCTAAGGTGCCACAAGTACTCCTGTTCTTTTTGCAGATACAGACTAACACAGCTGCTACTCTGAAACCAGGAAAAAACAGGCCACAGAAACAGCTTTGGAGCACTGGGAAGTCATACCATTGACCAGTGCCCCCTGAAAGTGGTGAGAAAGAAAGACAATGTCCTGGAAGGAGAGAAAAAAATTGCAACAAACACTGAGTCTAACAATACAGTTAATTCTATGAGTCACATCGGTTTTGCAAAAACACGCCTATCTTCAGTATTTTCCCATTATATTGAGCTCAGTGGTGGCCTGTGTAAGGTGATACACATGTCAATAGAAGTTTCTCCATGGTTCGTAGATTGTATGTGACCCATAGTATGCAAACCACCCCTTTCTTTGGAGAAATTACACTACAGTAAGCGTTAGTAACATTATTGCAATATTTCAGGCTTTGTGGGCAGACAGGCTAATATTCACCATCAGCATTTTATAAGGGTTCTTCTTGTGGCACACATGTAGCACCGGAGAGAAGTTTATTTTAAGGATTCCTCTGATGGGTGTCACATAAATTCCATGACAATAGTTAAAAAGCAGTAAGTTATTTCTTACGTTAACAGAAACACATTTTGTGGTTGTTTAAACATTCTGCTTGGCATCTTCCTGAAGCACTTGACCTATATCATCCTCCCACTCTTGCTTCAGCTTCTGTAGATTTAAACTAACTTTTGAAGGGAGCAATCCATTTTAACGTGTTCAGCTGTAGTGGTGACACTCTAACGAGGTGGTGGGAGGAAAACTCACTGGCTGAGCCCATTTTCAGTTTGTAAAATCTACCATATGCCTTATTTTTGCAGTAAATTTAATTACTCTCTTTGAGCTAGATCGTCAGCTGGTGTAAATCAGTATAGGCCTATTGAGCTACACCAATTTGCATCTGCTGAGGATCTAGTTGTTTCATTTTATCGAATTTTTTTGCCACCCATTCTTTTTGTGTAAATCTCTGACCGCTTTGTCCCCACCATGACTCCAGGAAAAGGAGCAAATTCCCCATGAATTCCAGGCTGGGGAATAGCCAAAAGCCATTTATGGACCTTTTTCTGCATATAAAGTGGTGTTAAGGTGCCTGACTCTGTGGTACTTGTGTAGCCAAAACTCCTTGTGATTCAGAGGCCCGAGGCTGCTCATTTAAAATGTAGAAATGAGAACACTTGCTGACCCTGAATTACTTGCACCTCCCAATCAACTTTTCCCAGTCTGTTCAATGACCTAAGCAATACAAAATTCCCAGTCCCTTTTATGGCAAACTTTGAGAAAGTATGGCCACAATCTACAGCTTCACTAAAACACCTGAAAACAGCTTTTATTAAATAATTTCACAAAAGAGAAACCCCAGAGGGGGGAGGGGGATGTAAGTGTTTTGAAAACTTAGGACTCCTTCAGAAGGTTGTAAAAATGTCACACCACCCCAAGCTTTCTTCCCTCACACCCCCAACTGATACCCAATTGACAAAATCTGTATCACACTTCTGGAAACAGGGAATGAGGTGATATTTACCCCTGTGCTGAGGCTTAGGTGGCACTTAAGTGGTGTTGGCTCTCTCTGGAGAAGCGAGTTTCCCTCATTATGACCAGGAAATAAAATGCATAATGCATTTACCATAAAGCATATTACAAGAACAAACTAGTCCATAAAAGATTATGGGACAGATCCTCAGCTGGAGTGAACTGGTCTAGCTGCATGGACTCCAACAGAGCTATGTTGATTTATACCAGCTGAGGATCTGGCCGTTTGTGCTAAAGTTCTCTAATATATTCTAAGAGGCACCTGAACCAAATACCTTGTCCCTTTCCCCATACCAGCAGATCTGTGTAATAAGGAGGCACTTCAAGGATGAAGAGTGATATGCATTTGAGTCACACATCCAAAGGAGTCGTTCCATTGCCCTTCTCTGATTCATCACCGTTCCAGTCGGGAAAGCTCAGGACCAAAAGTCAGGAGATCCGGGAAGTATTCCTGTCCCTGCTGCTGATTTGCTGCATGACCTCTGGTAAGTTGCCCAGCCTCTCTGTGGTTCAGGTACCCTATTTGTAAAATTGAGATAATTATTGGCTGGGCCTCACAAGAGTGCTGTGAGGCACAATGCATTAAGGTGAAATGCTTCTAAAATTCCTCAGACGGAGGAGTTTTAGAAGTACAGAGAATCACTACTATGATAAATATACATACTGTATTCTAATCTTTGCAGAGTTCATCTGACCAGGGTAAAAGCTATGTTTGATTAGATTCCTTCCCATGGAGCGTAATCAAGATTCCACCATCCACCTCCGAATGGACCGCAGCATGCCTCCTCCATCTCCTGATCCTCCAATTTCTATTTGCTTGTCATCTGATGCAAAGAGTTCAGAATCAGATATTCAGAGAAGACACAAGAGTGTTCACATACAAGTGATAGATGTGGGTATCAGATACCCAAATGAGTGGCACAAGACTTTTGCTATGCTCCTCTATGCTGGATGCTCTTTGTTATTATCATCTTCCATCATCGTTTTTGTCAACAACTGGTCCTCAGCAAAATATGTGATCTCACCATTCCCAGATCTAATTTCCACATATGTCGGACATGCTGATTGGGCTTTTAAAGCCTCTGAAGTCAGCAGCCTCATGCTGTTAATACTGTGGTCCATCCAGTGGTTTTTACTCCAATACAAGTAGGCATTTCATTGACATCAATAGTAGCTGAGCCCTTAAATAGCTATTTAAAATTATCAAAGTGCCACCTTAATTAAACCTCCCAATCCCCCTGCCACGTATGTAAGGAAGCATCAGTTCCTGTTTTACATAGAAGGACAGGGATGGAGACAGAGAGATTAAGTGACTTGTGCAAGGCCAGATGGTGTATCAGTGGCAAAGCCAGGATTAGTTCCTTTGGGAGCTGGCCAGAGAAAGGGTGTGGCAAGGGCACCTGAGAGATGCACTAATTCAGCATTGCCCCACATAGCCTCCAGTAGCAAGGCACCTATGGAGACACAACTACAATTTAAAGCTACCCTCTCATGGGAAAACTCTCAGGGAGGGCTCTGGTGCCAACCTTATCTGCCTTTCCTGTCATATACAGTTTCCCTCACTGCTACAGGGCAGAAAGCTATACTCCCTTATACCAACAGGCAGCAAATCAAGCTTGTGATGTCCAAGAAAACCTGTTTTGATTGGTTTCAGAGTAGCAGCCGTGTTAGTCTGTATTCGCAAAAAGAAAAGGAGTACTTGTGGCATCTTAGAGACTAACCAATATATTTGAGCATAAGCTTTCGTGAGCTACAGCTCACTCCATTGGATGCAGCATCCGATGAAGTGAGCTGTAGCTCACGAAAGCTTATGCTCAAATAAATTGGTTAGTCTCTAAGGTGCCACAAGTACTCCTTTTCTTTCTGTTTTGATTGTAGCAGATATGCTAAACTCCCCCTGAAAACATTGTTTGCAACCAACTTCTGTAAGAATCCTATACTCACAGTTTAGCTGCTTCCAGACGAGTGTGTCTGTAGCACTGGAGATTGGATCATTTCATAATTTTCCCTCCAGCTGCCTCCAGAATCTATCACTGAGCAACCCAAACAAGAATGTCATGGAAATGACAGCCAGTACACAAACCATAAAGTGTCATTATTAAATAATGAAAGGACTAATTTCATGGGAACACACAGTATGCAACATAATTTTCCTTAGCCCCTGCCATATCTTCCAGGTCAATCGTTGGGCGCCGTTTCCTGTTCATTATTGGTATAGAAACATAGAATATCAGGGTTGGAAGGGACCTTAGGAGGTCATCTTAGTCCAACCCCATGCTCAAAGCAGGACCAATCCCCAACTAAATCATCCCAGCCAGGGCTTTGTCAAGCTTGACCTTAAAAATATCTAAGGAAGGAGATTCCACCACCTCCCTAGGTAACGCATTCCAGTGTTTCACCACCCTCCTAGTGAAAAAGTTTTTCCTAATATCCAACCTAAACCTCCCCCACTGCAACTTGAGACCATTACTCCTTGTTCTGTCATCAGCTACCACTGAGAACAGTCTAGATCCATCCTCTTTGGAACCCCCTTTCAGGTAGTTGAAAGCAGCTATCAAATCCTCCCTCATTCTTCTCTTCCGCAGAGTAAACAATCCCAATTCCCTCAGCCTCTCCTCATAAGTCATGTGTTCCTGTCCCTGAATCATTTTGCCCTCCACTGAACTCTTTCCAATTTTTCCACATCCTTCTTGTAGTGTGGGGCCCAAAACTGGACACAGTACTCCAGATGAGGCCTCACCAATGTCGAATAGAGGGGAACGATCACATCCCTCGATCTCCTGGCAATGCCCCTACATATACATCCCAAAATGCCATTGGCCTTTTTGGCAACAAGGGCACACTGTTGACTCATAACCAGCTTCTCGTCCACTGTAACCCCTAGGTCCTTTTCTGCAGAACTGCTGCCGAGCCATTCGGTCCCTAGTCTGTAGCGGTGCATGGGATTCTTCTGTCCTAAGTGCAGGACTCTGCATTTATACCTTGCATTTATAACGGACTTTGACTATATATGTCACGGTTCTGACTGTCCCATCATCTGACATTACCTGTGAAGAAAAGATAAAGCTTTAGTGGCACAGATTGTAAAAGGCAGACCAGAAACCAGATAAACAGCACGGGGTGACAAGATGTTGGGTTCTTCATTCTTGGTTAATGTGCATCTTTGTGTGACAGGAAAATGGGTGATGAGGGAAGCACATAACACATTTTATTACCAACCTAAGCTGCAGGCATCATACTCCTGTCCTGATGGGCATGCTGATCTAGTGGGGAAGTCGCTGAGCAATATAGCATGTAGTTGCAGAACATATAAAAACAGGATTCCAGATTTAGCCTTGCAGCATATGTGCCAGGCTTAGTAAAAGATGAGTCAGCATTTCTATTCAAATTGGCCATTTTAATTTAGCTCAAAATAGAGGTTAAGGGGTGCCTGGTGCTGGCACACATATTGCTATGGTGTCCTCAGAGAGGCCAAACCATGCCCCTCACATCACTTTCAATTCTGAAAATATGTTTTAAAACATGTTGTTCTTTATTAAATTCTGCGTGATCCTCCAGACATGCAAACACAGAATGAATGAGCGTACGCAAATATCTCAGCATTCTCATACTGTCATCAATTTCAAACCATTACTGTATATAAAATGCCTTTAATTAGTCATATTTTACCAATAACTTCAATGGGGGCAGGAACATGCCCATAATACTAACACCTCAGGGTAATAGGAGAGTACTGTTGGGGCAGGGACCATCTTTTTGATCTCTGTTTGTGCAGCACCTAACACAGTGGGGTCCTGGTGCATGACAGGGATGCCTAGGCACTGTGATCATATGAATAATAACTAAGAGCTATCCCTATTTTATAACCTGGAGAAGCAAACGCATGCAGGATGGAAATTTCAAAAGCACTGCTGTAGCTCACGAAAGCTTATGCTCAAATAAATTGGTTAGTCTCTAAGGTGCCACAAGTACTCCTTTTCTAAAAGCACTTAAGTCACTCAGAAGCTTAAGTCAGTGACCGTCAGTGACTTTTGAAGCCAGTGGGACTGAGGCACTTTTGAAAATTTTACTCAGAATGAATAAGTGAATTGGCCAAGTTCGTACAGAAGATCTGTGCTAGAGCTGGGATTAGAATTTAGGCTTTCCTGGTTCCCCATCCAATGTTCTTCCACTAAGGTACACTACCTATATTCTACATACCGTAAACCCTATATAAACTCCACATACAGTCACACCTTCCTCTCCTGCTGCCTGGCTGAAAAGGACACAACGAAAACACCGTAAAAGGAAAGATTTTGTTTGTTAAGATATTAATAGGGTATATTACTGAAATATAGATTCAAGTAGATTTTTTTAAAATCAACTGATGAATGCTCCAAATTTGTCAAGGAATCTTAGAATGTGATACTCAACAAATCACAGAGCTGCTGTTTTCTGTTTTGTTTTCCCTATTAGCCTGATGGAGACTGGAAACTTCTGCTAAAACAGACAGTGAAATTAGTATCTACTGGTGGATTCTTTCAGCGATCCCCAAGGTTCTGTGGTGATTATGTGCATAATGGCCATGCAGCTAGTCTGATTCTTACCTATATGTTCATTAAAGAATGTAAGTACAGCTGAGTCGCGGATAAAACCACTTAACCAAATGAGCACTTTTCACAGGCTTCCTTCAAACAATGACACTTAGGCAGTGGCATGCCATCAGTGTATGCAAGGAATACGTCGCATGCCCCAGGACTAGCTGTACCCGCAAGACAATTTAGTCTGGTCCCCAAACGTGCAAACAAAATGGTGTCCCCTGCACAGCGTGGCTTCGCATGCACTGTATGTGCAAAGTCACACTGCACGGAGGACACCATTTTGCTTGCAAATGTACAACTCCATTCCTGACTAAAAATGTCAGGCTTGCCAATGCACTTAGGCAGTTTTTTGTTTTGTTTTTTACTAAGACCCCCCCAATAAACTCGTTGATATCCCTTCTTTGATTGCTTTCCTATTACTGCTGCTTACTACGATGTGTGTGTGTAAATGGAACCTTTTATATATATATATATATACACACACATATATACATATACACATACACACACAAATTCCATTGTTGTTATCACATAAATGCTTTCTTTACAAAACCTGGTATATATTTCAAGCTATTGCAAAGACTGGGCCAAACTCATACTGGAAGTAAGCCCTCTGATGCCTGGGGATCAAAAAAATCACAACAGTTATAAGTGTAAAAGGCTTATTGGTTCCTCCAGTCCATCTCCCTCTGCCAGTGCAGAATTGCTCCATCACACATTTTCTAGTACTTTGTCCAATCTAGTTTTTAAAAGGTTCAAGTGATGGTCCAAAGTCCACTTCTCTCAGACCACTATTCCATGGGCGAACATATCTCACTGTCAAGATTTCCTAATATTCAGCCAAAGTTTTCCATTTCTTAATTTCATCCCAGTACTCATAATTACGTCCCACTAAATTGCTCCTAATGTATCCCACTAAATAATGTGTTTACATTACTGATGCTAAACCTCTTCAAATATTTGTAGACTATGTCCCACCTTAATTGTTACTTAGCCAATCTAGCCTTATTTAGCAGTTTTAAACTTTCCTCCTCAGTTCGTACCTCTGAATATTTTATGTTTTTCTCTGACTCCCACTAATTAGTCAATATTTTTCGGATAAAACCCAGAACTGAACACAGCTACACATAGAATTTTGATTATTAATTTTCTACTTTATGTAATGATGTGCAGTGCTATTAAAATGTTACTTCCACTTGTCTGGATAACCAGCATAGCCTTCTAGTGA